TGAACACTACAAAGAATGCTTGGAAGTCCCATTCTTCCTCACTGTTGTCTTGGTGTAGACACCCCATTTTTGACCGTCCTCAAGACTTGGACGTCACCGCTTGGAACACTCGGTGATTATCCATGTTTGTGTTCGTTTGGAGTTCCCAGAGGTCTCGGCTCGCGCGCCTTGCCTCGGGATCTCCGAACTCGACTGTTTAGTGTCTGGTTTTGCACCAAACACTTGTGTTTTGCCTTGGAGGGGTAGGGAATGCCTTGTGAGGCATCCCCACACACCACCGGCAGTGGCTAGAGGTCACCGGCTGGTTTTTGCTGCCATCGGCACTATTTGTTGCAGGTCGGCACCTTTTGTTGCCGGTCGGCACTCTTTTTTGCCAAGATGGCCTTTTTGGCCGGCCGACTACTGTGCATCTGCTTTTGCAGATATTTTAAGACAGCTGTCTTGCTTTTGGCTCCCCTCCATACACGTGTATGGAGGGATCTCCCTCTTATGAAGCTTGTCTTGTAAGCTTTACAAGACAATAAGCTCTATAAGAGAGAGCTTTGTCTCTTGGCTTTGATAACAGATTCTTCTTCATTCTTGGCACGTGATAGACGTCCTGCAGATGTATTTGGTTAGAGTTGAAGAGAGGAGTAATGATTGTCTTACCAACATGGGTGATCGACAGCCTTGTATTATCAACTGTCACTACTACCCCACCTCCTGTGTACTCAAACATGTTGGACAGCTCCAGTCATGTGTTTAGAGCATTCTGAATCAACGATCCAATCATTGTTGTAGTTGATTGCTCCAGTTTAGACTCTGCCACAAGAGCCGATTCATTAGGCTCAGATACAACCGTACACACAACCACTTCACTAATGGTTGGATTGTGCTGTTCTTGCACTTCTCGTGCATCAAAGTCTATTTCTTCAGAGCAATATGTCTCATTAGATTCGAACACTGCAAAGAATGCTTAGAAGTCCCATTCTTCCTCACTGTTGTCGATTTGACAAATAGCCTCAAGTCCGCTGGTGCCACCGAGTACCCACTTTGTACTAAAAATTCTGCTATTTTGCCATATCATGCCCTCGACGCTTGTTTTAAGCCCTACAAGGCTTTCTTTAATTTGTAGACATAAGTTGGATGGACTTTGCTTTCAAACCCCTGGGGTTGCTCCATATATATATCACGATCTATCTTATTATGCAGAAAAGCATTCTTTATGTCCATCTACCACAACTTCCAAGACTTGCTGGCTACAAGTGCTATTAGTACTCGCACCGTTGTGATCTTTACTATTGGACTAAATGTTTCATCATAGTCCAATCTATATTGCTCTGAGAAGTCTCGAGCCACTAGACGTGTGTTGTACCTTTTTATCGATCCATCAGGACGAGTTTTTACTTTGTACACCCACTTGCATGGTATCGATTTCACGTCCTTGGGCTTAGGAACTAGCTTCCATGTTTGATTCTGTTTGAGGGCTTGAATCTCTTTCTCTATTGCCTTCTGCCATGCTTTGCTTTGGGATGCCTTTTCAAACATCGTTGGCTCTGAAATGCTATTTTCTTCAATTAAAGGAGCATTTGCATACTTCGGATTAGGCTTAAATTATTTTTCCGACCTTTTGAGTTTTGGTCCAATCTTTTTAACCCCTTCTTGTTGGCTTAGGCGAACTTCTTCTGGACTCTTGTGATGGACACCTGTTTTCCATGAACTTGAAAATATTTTTGGTGTCTTTGACAAGTCAGGTTCTAGCTCATCACTACTTTGTGTTAATACTGGCTCCTTGATGATTTCTAAACTAAGAGGTGCCTCTTCATCTTGTCTTTGTTTCCTCAGCTTTTCTTGTAACTGATCTTTTAAATTTTTGGAGTCTGGCAATGGTACATCTTGTGAAGACCACCAAGATGAGGCTTCATCAAATACAACATTTCTCGAAGTATAGCAATGGCCAATCGTGGGGTTACAACATTGCCACCCTTTCCTTTGGCTGTCGTAGCACACGGAGATGCAACAAATTGCCTTATTATCGAACTTGCTATGTAGATGATTTGGCACAAATACGTAGCAGACACATCCGAATAATTGAAAGTGACTTATTGTGGGCTTTATGTGCCATAACTTCTGGAAGGGTAAGACCAACCTTAAACCTGCCTGCGGTAGCCTGTTGATCACATGAGCTGTTGTCTTCATACATTTAGTCCAAAATTTGCTAAGCACATTCTTAGCATGTAGCATGCTCCGACATGTCTCTGCAAGATGCCTATTCTTTCTTTTAGCCACTCCATTCTGTTGTGGAGTACCTGAGTAAGTAAACTGATGTCAAATTTGGCATCTCTAAGATAGTTAGAGAACTTATCTGATGTATATTCTTCTCCATTATCTGTTCGCAAGCATCGAATCTCCTTTCCAAGCTCACTTTCAACCTTCTTACGAAATTCTTTGAACTTGGCCAGAACTTCAGACTTCTCTTTCATAAAATACACCCATGTGTACCTTGAGAAGTTGTCAATAAAGGTCACCATATAACGCATTCTGCTGATTAATGCTTGCTTTACTGGTCCGAAAACATTTGAGTGGATAAGCTTTAAGGGTTCCTTAGCTCTATACTTTGAATCTTCATATGGTAATTGATGTGCCTTACCATACTGACATTCAGCACAAATTGTATCTTCTTGAATATCCAGTTGAGGAAGGCCCTTAAGCATAGACTTCTTCATCATTATTTTTAGCTTGTGATAGCTCACTTGACCCAAGCGTGCATGCCAAAGGTCTGCAGTCTCATTCTTTCGAGACTTATTTACGTAGGTTGATTCTGCTGACATTACGTAGATAGACTCTAACCGTTTTTCCTCCATGATGGGAGTACCAGATAACTTAACCTTCTGGTAAATCTTGACATGCTCCGGGTCGAATAACACATAGTTGCCCGAGGATGTGAGTTGTGAGACTGATAACAGATTCTTCTTCATTCCTGGCACGTGATAGACGTCCTGCAGATGTATTTGGTTAGAGTTGAAGCGATGAGTAATGATTATCTTACCAACATGGGTGATCGACGGCCTTGTATTATCAACTGTCACTACTACCCCACCTCCTGTGTACTCGAACATGCTAGACAGCTCCAATCATGTGTTTAGGGCATCCTGAATCAACGATCCAATCATTGTTGTAGTTGATTGCTCCAGTTTAGACTCTGCCACAAGAGCCGATTCATTAGGCTCAGATACAACCGTACACACAACCACTTCACTAATGGTTGGATTGTGCTGTTCTTGCACTTCTCGTGCATCAAAGTCTATTTCTTCAGAGCAATATGTCTCATTAGATTCGAACACTGCAAAGAATGCTTAGAAGTCCCATTCTTCCTCACTGTTGTCTTGGTGACTTTTGGATGTCACCAAGTTACATTCTTCTTGCCTTCTCTTTGAACGACAATCTTTTGCATAGTGACCTCTCTTTCCACATTTGTAGCACTCTATGTTATGCTACCATGGTGTTGAGGATCATTGATCATGGTTGTTGCTGCCAGATTGAGCTCCCTCTGTTTAAGAGCTCCCATCCTGCTTTTGGCTTGTTCTTCATTTTTTTTTGGCCTTGTAGAGTTAGGCCGTCTTGGTCCACTCTTCTATTGTTGTTACTGAATAGTGCCTCTTCTTCAGTCTTCAATGAGACCCTAACCATTTGCTTGCATAGGCTTTCTTGATTGGCTAATAAATTCTCCAACTCTATAAGAGATGGTTGAATTGGCCAACCCCTTATAGCTGTAATGAATGCATTATACTCGGTCCTTAACCCATGTATAATGATCCTCCTCATTCTTTCCTCATTAATATTTGCCTTAGGATTTAGATTTGAAATTTCATGACATAGATCCTTAATTTTTGTGAAATATTCACTTATGGGCTTACTTTCTTGAGTGGTAGACATCAACTCATTTTCTAGAAATTGGAGCCGGGCATCATTTGTCTTTGAAAACAATGATGCAAAGGTGTCCCATGCTACCTTGGGTGTGTCATCATTCCTGATGCGCTCGAGCAACTCATCCTCTATGGTTGTCTTGAGCACATATATTGTCTTTTTGACCTTGATCTTCCATTTGCAGAATGCCTTGACATTTTCCTTGGAAGATGGTGTAGTCTCATTTCCATTATCAGCCTCCCACAAATCCTACCCTTTAAGTAGGACTTGATGCGACTTTGCCAACTCTGATAGTTGTTGTTGTTGAGTCTTGTGACTCCACTCGTTGTGTTCACAAGATCTACCATCGTGGCTTGGTGTGATCCTCCTGTATTTTCACTAAGTAAATGTGGTCTATAATCCACAAGTTTCACAGTCTTAAGTTGTGCACGATCAACTCAAGAAAACAGTTCTTGACCGCTTTGCTCTGATACCAAATTGTTGAGTTAGAACGCAACGACTATACAAAAGTGAATCTTTATTTAGTTACAAAGATACACTCAAGTATACAAGAAGACTCTTAAGGACACCTCACTCTTGGAATCACTCACACTCAAGAACTTGACTCCACTCTTGTTTTTTGTGTCTTGTACCTTCCAAATGAGGTCACTTCCTTTTGTATAGTTATTCACCTCCTCAATGGATGGCTAGGATCATTTTGATCCAAGGGATATTATTAACCCTCTAGAATATTTTAGTATATACACATACTTTCCCATATTCTAGAACTCTCTAACCTATTCTCGTATATAATAGTACTTTCTATACTTCTAAAACATTCTAGAACCTTTCGGAACCTTTTAGATTTCTCTAGATCTCTACAAGCTTCTCTAATGTTCTGGAATCTCCCAGATTTCTTTAGATCTTTCTAGAGTCTTCTAGATCTTTTCGGAGTCTTCTAGATTATTCAACATATGCAATTAATAGACTAGATAATTCTAGAAAAAGTCAATGATGACTCTTAACAGAATTCATATCAATAAATTGAACATAAAATTGAAACTTTTTTCCAAGATTCCAATTGAAGAAGATGAAAGATTAGAAAGTGTCTTTACATTGCTTTGTAAATATGCAGAGCTTGATCCTAAGATCATCTCCCCATAAGCACCTAGTTCACTTTTGATCAGATCAAATCTAACGCCTCGGATTGCATCTCCAAATTGACTCATATGTTGATTGGAAGTGGCTACTAGCACCCGATCATGGCTTTGCAAATTCTTATACATATTGCTGAAATAAAAATAAAAAAAAAATTAAAAGAAATTCATTAAGCAAATTGGCAGCCCATCATAACATGATGTATGATGAAGGTAATCTCCAAATGTGTTTTGCTACTGCTAAAGGTTTTAAATATTATTCCTAGTATCGAGTGTTTTGAGCAATACGTATTGAGAATCGAGCGATGAGGTCATAAATTTCTTAAAATCATTAGTCGCAAAAAAACTGTTATAACTTCCAAACCGACTGTGTATTATAAACCAGTTATATCAATTGTGCATTAGCTATGAACTAATATGTATCAGGAATCGACTGATACATATGTGATTTTCATCCCCACCAAATATACAGAGGTATATCGGTATCAAAAGAGTAAAAACCCAATATGTATCAATTGACATTTAAAAATATAGCATGATAGAGATCAAAGCATACAAAAAATAGTTCTAAAGATTAAACACAATGGAATGGTTAAAAGCACCATTGCCTTTGATGTAACTATGTTAGAGCAATGTTAGGGATCATGAAAAAATATCATGAATATGATCACGAAAGATTCTCCTCCGTTAGATTACACATATAATAAAACACCAAACACTAATCAAAGGATGAAAAATCTTTATGAAGTATTTCATGATTTATTTATTTTTTTATTTTTTTATGATCCCTAGTATTATTCACTATTTTATAACCATAAAACTAGTGAGCTTCAGTGCAATTTTTTTTTTTTTTAAAATTATTTTCTTGTGAACAAACAATAGCTAAGGGATGGTTACATTCAAATTAAGGTAAGGTTGTGTTTGAATTATAAATATGGACAAAAATTTAGAAACGAAAAAAGAAAAAGTGTTTGGAAAAGGAAAAAAAATATATCTCTAAATTTTTACTTAAATTCATGATTCAAATATAACTTAAGTGAAAAGTTTAGAAAAAATTTTTTGTATGCATAAAATGTAGGCAAGTTGGAGCTAATATCTGTCATGCAATCTCATATGGTTATATGATTTTTTTAGTTAATTGGTGAAATTTTATGCTAGTTAAGTTAGTTAGCTATGCAATAGAATGAAAGAAGAAAACAAACAAACAAACAAAAGTGAGAAAATCATCAAAGCAATCAAATCACACACCTTTTCATGGGTTTCTTTAAAACCAAGCATGCACTTTCACCTCTAGACTCCCCCAAAACACCATGAATGAACTCCCTCAAATTTCCATTCATAAATCCAAACCATTCTCACTTTGTTAGTTTTTTGAAAAATAAATTACGATTTGACATTTTCAATGGGTCCAAAGCCCAATATCTCACAAATTTCGAGAAATTATCCATATATTTGTTCTTGAAGCAAATTATAATGAAAAAATATTATTAAAATTTTGTTTAAAATTTTATCTTGAAATAAAGTGTAGTGTAATTTAAAATTGTTGAGATATGAATGATTGTGGTCCATAAAATATTTTTTAAAATAATTTGTTGAACAATTTTTTTGTATGTAATTAATATTATTACTAAATTATAATTTCCCTGCAAGTTTCATGGTTTGAGTACTGTTCAAGTAACAGCTGTGACCAAGACGGCCGTTGAAGATAGCCAATAATAATATGAAACCTACGCAACAAATAAATTTTTCAGAGCTTTGGTCATTTTGTTTTGCTTAGGTGGTGTTTTCTGATAGGGCTGTCACAGTCGTTAGCTTACCACCAGGGACGACTGGGTCTTTTGGGAAGCACTAAAAAAGTTAGCATTTAGCTTTTTATCCATTTTGAGTTACATCATTTCTCACATTTTTTACCTACAAAAAGACAAAATACACTAAAAAAGTCAAAAAATCAGCTTTTTACCAACCTCCCAAAACACTTCTATAAAGCTATCGTTTAGGAAGTGAATTGACTTTTTGACTTTTTAGTTATTTTAACTTAGAGTTAAAAAGTCTCGTTTGTGATGGGCTTTTTGATTTGTTAAACTTTTGTGAGAGAAAAAATATAATGATTATGAATTGAATGTAGGGAGCTTTTTTAATAAATCCATTCTCTAAGAATCCTATTCCATAAACCCCATAGTGTTTTCTACTATTCCATTAGGTCCTATTTTATATTAGAAGACCAAAACACCCTTCTCCTCTTCTCTTCTCTTTTTGAATCAAATAACTGTCCCTCTTCCCCTCTCTTTTTGCAAAAAATCACACACAGTATCTCCACCCTTCCGAAAACCCAAAATCATATTCCATATCGTCTCACACCCATATGCATCTCATTGTCCCATCGTCGCAGTATCTCATCGTCGGCTTTGTCATACCTCCGCCGTCCGTCTACGGAAACGTGGAAATCACCATTGGTGAACATCTTGAAGTTCAATCTTCGTCAAAATCACCATCGACGACCATTTGTGACAACCCAACCGTTGATATAGGCAAAAAGTGTAAGTAATCTCACCAATCTTGTATGTAAATCCTAAATCTCTTGTTCAAATTACACCATTGTGAACTTCCAATATCCCCTGTTTCTATTCATACAATGTGTGAAACTTCATATTTTTATTGTTCATGCCCTAATCGTGAATGTGAACCCCTCAATCCCAATCCCTAAGTATATGGTTTTGTTCACCCAAAAATAATGCAGTGGCAATTACGTTGTGTTGTCAAAAGCTGTGAACATTTACATGGGAATGAAAAATGTTGGGCCAAGCCAATTATTTTAGATGTTGTTCTTGTTGTATGTTTTAATCATGTGAATCTCTTATACCCATTTCATCAATATGAACTTCTACAGTTGTGAACTTCATAGTATATGATTTTATTCATTCAATGTATGAACTTCATATTATAACTATTATTGCCCCTTCTAATATTGTTGTTAACAGTAGTGGACATTCACAGGGAAGTCAATATGTTGGGCTAAGCCAATTGTTTCAGATGCTGTTGTTGAATGTTTTAATCATGTGAATGTCCTATTCAAATTGCATCAATATGAACTTCCACAATAGCCCCTATTTTTATTTATTCAATGTGTGAACTTTTATTACTGTTATTGCCCCGACTATTATTATTGTTAACAGTAGTGAACATGCACAGGGAAGTCAATATGTGGGGCCAAGCCAATTGTTGCAGATGTTCTTGTTGTTGTTGTATTGTTTGATCATGTGAATGTCCTATTCAAATTGCACCAATATGAACTTCCACACATATTCCCTATTTCTATTCATACAATGTGTGTAATTTCATATTGTTATTGTTCTTGCCCCTAATACTGTTGTTGTTAACAGTAGTGAACATTCATATGAAAACAAAGAATCATGGTCCAACTTGTCTGTGTCAGATGATGTTGGTACATCTAATTATGTTGTGAACATTCATAACATGTGTAAATTGATTAGTCACTTTGTGAACATTCACTACTGTGTTTATTACTTTTTATATTCCATGTTTGAAACGGTATTTCACTTTGTGAACATTTGCATCTATCGGAGTGTATTAACTCGATATGGGGACCAAATGTAAGCACACTTTTTTTTCCCATTTTTTTGTGTAATCAAATTATATTTTTTTTGTCCCAATGCAAACTTTCTCACCTGTTGCCATTGTTATTTTTGGTCCTTGTTGTTCATGTTGTTGCTGTTATTTTCCCCTATTTTTTTGTTGTTGTTGGTATTGTTGAAATGATGTGAACTCCTAAATTTGTTGGTTATCCTCGAAAACAAAAAAATTGTTGTTGTTTCAGATATTGTTGTTGTTGTTCACATGAAGTCAACATTCACATGGGGACCATGTCTTGAATAAATTTGTTATATGATTGTGAATATTGTGTCAAGCAAATCCCCAAATAAAAACGTTTCTTCTAGTTGTAGTTCGATTTTGATGTGAACCTTGACATTGTGAACACGAATGTTGTTCATATTTGTCCACTTAATATTCACACCACATGTTTGTGGTTAATGAATGGGTGATGTTTTCATGTTGTTTGGTTGTTTATAGCCACTATGAATATTCACATTGTTGTTATTTGCTTAGAAATGTGTACATATAATCACTGTCTTACTGTGAATTGTTGTAAGCAAATGTTGATGTGAACTTTAACATTCCATTCTATACACATGAACATACCTAATATTATATGAATTTTTTCCCTTTTTTTGTGTAATCAAATTACATTTTTTTTTGTCCCTATGCAAACTTTTTCACATGTTGCCATTGTTATTTTTTGTCTTTGTTGTTCATGTTGCTGCTGTTATTTTCCCTCTTTTTGTTGTTGTTGGTATTGTTGAAATGATGTGAACTCCCAAATTTGTTGCTTTACCTAGAAAATAGAAAATTATTGTTGTTTCGGATATTGTTGTTGTTGTTCACATGATGTCAACATTCACATGGGGACCATGTCTTGAATAAATTTGTTATATGATTATGAACATTGAGTCAAGTAAATCCCCAAATAAATTTTTTTTTCTAGTTGTAGTTTAATTTTGATGTGAACCTTGACATTGTGAACATGAATGTTGTTCTTATTTGTTCACTTAATATTCACATCATATGTGTACACTGAAAATATGTGGTTTGCGGTTAATGAATGAGTGATGTTGTCATGTTGTTTGGTTGTTTATAGCCACTGTGAATATTCACATTGGTGCTATTTGCTTATAAATGTATACATATAATCATTGTCTTACTGTGAATTGTTGTAACCAAATGTTGATGAACTTTAACATTCCCTTCTATACACATGGACATACCTAATATTATATGGATTTTTCCCCCTTTTTTGTATAATCAAATTACATTATTTTTTTGTCCCAATGCAAACTTTCTCACATGTTGCCATTGTTATTTTTGGTCCTTATTGTTCATGTTGCTGCTGTTATTTTCCCTATTTTTGTTGTTGTTAGTATTGTTGAAATGATGTGAACTCCTAAATTTGTTGTTTTACCTAGAAAACAAAAAATTGTCGTTGTTTCAGATATTGTCGTTGTTGTTCATAGGATGTCAACATTCACATAGGGACCATGCCCTGAATAAATTTGTTAT